GTGGGTGGTCAATGATGCTGCTTTTGACTCTCTTCCTCCTACTACTGCTCTGGGGAGGCCTTGGTGCACCTCTTGGGCCTCCTCTGCTCTCTGGGCTTTCTCTGGATGTCCCCTACCAACACGACCACCACCACCACCAGTGTGTCTGGGGTCTTGTTGTGCCCCAGGGTCCTCCAATCCTGCCTTGCCTAGGGCCTTCCCTGTGGATCCTCCGTGACTTCACAGTTGCTCATGTGTAGGTAGGGGTGCTTGCTTACTTGCCCTCATGTGCATCGTGGTGCAGTGTGCAAGGAAATTTCACACAGGCTTGAGGAAAAACTCTTCTGCTGTGAGCGCGGCCAAGCCCAGGAGATGTTACACAGGCTGCTTGTGAACTGTCCATCCCTGGAGATAATCAGGACCACATGGGGCAGGGTTCTGATCCACCTGCTCTTGTTGACCCTGCTCTGACACTGATCATCTCCAGAGGCACCTTCCAGTCTCAACAACTGTGGGATTCGCGGCCTCAGTGATTGGCTACTCATTGGCCACGATGCTCAAGAAGCCACTGAACTTCCTGTCTGTGTAGAGGAAAATCTTCTTTGGCAGCTGTGTGTCCCAGCTCTTCCAGCTCACAGTCATGGCCTACGACTGAACTGTGGCCATGTTGTAGCCCATGCCAGGGAAGATCTGTGCCATTGCAGCAGCAGGCCTGAGGACTGGGGTCACTCTCCCCTTGTTGACACCAGCGATACTCACTTTTGTTTGCCTAGCCACATGCCCAGTGTCATTGACTGCTCCTTCTCTGAGGCACCACCCATGCTGGCCTGTGCTGAGACCTGCTGGACTAGTGTGCTCCTCGTCTCCAAATGTGGCACCGATTCCCTCATGTGCCTCCTCTCCTTGTTGGGCTCCTGTGGGCTGATTCAGCTCTCCTCCATGGCAGCAGAGATGGGAAGAGACGCAAGGCACTTGCCACCCAGCTGTGGTTGTGCTGTGCTTCAGTCCATGGTCCCTGATCTTCACCTGCCTCACTACCAGCCTCACCTGGAACAGTGGAGTGTCCATCTTCAACAGTGCTGGTGCTGCCTCTCCTCAAGTCACTGATCTAGAGCCCAAAGAAACACAAGATGAGGGAAGCGGTGAGAAAGTTGGAAAGAGAGTGCTATTCGCCAAGATGTGCAAGGACAGTGGAAGGACTGGGAGCATCCAATTGTGGCAAGCTGCTTTCTGGAGCAGGAGAAGTGGGATGGAGAAGGAGATGTTGCAATGACACTGGAGAAGGATCCACACACTGGATGGGAAACATGCAGAGGAGAAAAGGGAAGGGAAGGGAAGGGAAGGGAAGGGAAGGGAAGGGAAGGGACGGGAAGGGAAGGGAAGGGAATGGGAGGGA